CTCGGCGGTACTCGACGCTGATTGGTCCGACGCTCGTGACGAAATTGCGGGGGACCGCAGTTATTCTCTATGGACCCGAATAGGCTTTTGGATTTCGGAGGGGTTTCTTTTAAATTATATGCTGTTTCGAGCTGTTTTCGAGTTGAAATATATTTCTTATGACTGTTACCTATATAATGGCACCATAAAATCATGATTTTGATAAATATTACCGATGAAATATCGGCCGAAAAGACATGCTGTCATGGTACGGACTGCCCTGCGGCTGATGTGGGGTCCCTAATGCCAGCGTATGGTAATAATGGGGTGACGAAGGGTTATTGGAGACTCTTAGAGCCCCATCAGCATTCAGCATAGGGTCATCAGAGGCCGGGAACGTCCATCAGGGGTCTGAGTAGGCCTGTCATAGGGGCATACATGACACATCATGGCCCATGGGTCAATGTAGATCCATGGGGCCGTTGAAGGGCCAGCATTGTTCAGCGTGGGCTCGCAATTACCTCTGATGGGCAATGGGCATATGCCGTGCCCCGATGGACTAACGCTGGCCCCTGATGAACCATCACCAGCCCCTGATAGGTCTACAAAGCCCACTGCTGGGTCTAAATTGCATTCAGCATAGGGTCATCAGAGGCCGGGAACGTCCATCAGGGGTCTGAGTAGGCCTGTCATAGGGGCATACATGACACATCATGGCCCATGGGTCAATGTAGATCCATGGGGCCGTTGAAGGGCCAGCATTGTTCAGCGTGGGCTCGCAATTACCTCTGATGGGCATATGCCGTGCCCCGATGGACTAACGCTGGCCCCTGATGAACCATCACCAGCCCCTGATAGGTCTACAAAGCCCACTGCTGGGTCTAAATTGGTCACTGATATGCCCAAATGGGCCACTGAGAAACCCGTACAACATCCCCTGACTGCACCTGCTGGACCAGTGCCGTCCTCTCATGGGCCCACCACAGCTCTTGAATGACCTTTTCAAGTCCCTTGAAGTGCCTTTATTGGCCTAAATGGCCCCTGATTGGCTTATGTGGTCCCTATTGGTCCTATATGGCCCCCATGAGCCCTCAACGTCCCTAGACGGCCTTACATTATATGTCACTGGGCCCTGTTGGGTCAGCACCGGCCCCTGATAGGCTTGCACTGGACCCACCGGGCCTATACCGACCCATGAAGGGCCTATGTCGAGCCCTCATGGGCCTCCGATGACCACACGCCGGCATGTGTGGCCCCATCAGCAGTGGTCCGTCTATCCCATGTACTTACGGTCTTTTTGGTCGATGTGACACCGGTAGTATATAGAAATGTTATGATTAAATGTCGTTATTACACAGTCAAAAGTCACAGAAAGAATATCCAAGCTCAAAAATGGCCTCAAACCCAACAAAAACTGGTACAAATCCCCTTCAAAAGCCGTAAGTCTATTAAACGCCATAGGGGAATAGCTGCAGTCCCCCGCAATTTCGTCACGAGCATCGGGCCAATCAGCGTTGAGTATTGCCGAACGCCGATTGGTCGATTTCCGCTAGCCTGTAAATGCTGCTTGCGGATATAGTTTTGAACAAAAGAGGGTCGCGGCTACTAATTATCGCTTGTCACCACTTTTTCGTCGGGAGCGTTCTACCTGGTTTATATAGCCTTGGCCAGGACCATGTTTTCTGGTATTTGTCACGAAATTGTACCACCGTAGATAATCCGGGAACTGGGTGCAACATCGTGAGACTTTTCGTGAATCGTAGATGGCGCCAAAGTAGGGGCAGACGGGACCCGAGACCGGCACCGCGGGGGGTGGGGTGAGGGGCGGGACTGACAGGGGTCGTCGCGCGGAACTGTCCTACGGCCAGCGCCGAGCATCTAGCCTCGGGCCCGCATCCCTGCCCCAGGCGCGACCAGAGCTCCCGGATGTTCCGGCTCACTGCCGCGCCCCAGCGCGTCAAACTTCGTGAGAAAATTCGGAAACTGCTCCCTCGCACTCTCCGTACTATTTTCCGAATATTCTTCGGCAAGGTACATATGTGTCCATGAGAAAATTCGGAAAAGCGATTGACACCAGTTCCGTGTCAAAATGACACACGGTGCGGTGTCAGAGTCCTGTGAGCTGGTTTTCCGGTTTTTCTCACGAAAATGTATCACCGTAGACTTGTCGGGAATGGCGTACAATATCGTGAGACTTTTCGGAAAACCACCTTCCAGCACACCTTATGGGCGTTCACGTTTTCTCTCACGAACTAATACCACCGTAGATAATGCGGGAAATGGGTACAACATCGTGAGACTTTTCGTGAATCATAGATGACGCTAATGTACAGCAACCGCTGCAACTGTGAATGGAGCATATGGCTGGTAGGGACAGCACCTGCCATGCCTGACAGGCGTGGCAGGGACTGCAATGCATGCATCCATAAATATGCGTCTTTGACAGCTCATGTGACATGTAACATATCTTCAACGAATTGGATTCCATAGTCCGGTTCAGGTTGGTACGATCTGGTGTCAGTATGCATGTTACTAGCTTGATGTTCATCATTAAAGTTTATATGTTGGCCGTCTGCACCTCCGAGCTCTCGTCCTGGACTGCTCAACCATCTGTGGATATGTTGTCCTGCGAGACAGCCCCGTCCCCTCCCTCCCTCTGTGAACAATGCGTGCCTTATCTCGGCTCGGCCTTGCCCGGTCCCCTCCCCCCCCCCCTCCCTGGACTCGGGCCGCGCTCTCAGTTCTCTGCCGCGCCACGCCTCGGGTCTCCTCACACCCCTCTGCCCCGACCCTCCCTCCCCGAACCGACAATCATCTTCCGGCTCACCACGTTCGAGCCCCTGACAGCCAATAGGTTGGCCCCGTTACTGATGAAGGTATCTTTCCGTGAGGATTACATTGGGTACTGAGATGTGACCATGACAAACAGTCCGACAGATACATCACATGAGTATATTTCCGTGAAAAAAATTCGGAAGCGTCGCCGTGTCATTTCCGATGCTGTGTTCCAAGTATTCTTCGCAAAGATATGTTTCCGTGAGGATTTTATTGGAGACTGGGATGTCACCATGAAAGACATCCCGCCAAATACACCATTAGAGTGTATTTCCGTGAGAAAATTCGGAAGCGGCTCAGTCTCTTTTCGCTGCTGTGTTCCGAATATTTGTTTCGCAATGGTATGTTTCCGACCCGTGAGTTTTATAAGGGAGACAGAGATGTCACCATAAAAGGCATTCCGCCAAATTTACCATAGAAACACATTTCCGTAAGAATATTCGGAAACCTTGCCCTTTCTGTACATTTCTCTGATTATTCTTCGATAAAGGTATGTTTTCGTGAGGATTGTATGTGAGAACCCATTAGCGCTCAGTGTCCTCATATGAGGACACCCGAAACAGCCAGACGTGGCGCACACCGGGTATATGTTAGACGCCTTAGAACCTCGCCAACGTGTCGAGAAGGTCTTTGTCGACCACCTGGGTCCCGCTATGTTTGTTTCCCTTCACCCTCTTGTATTTGATAAGCGCTTAAATTTAGCGATTTTCAGACATTGAGACCCTCGTCGGCTTATTTGGCTTCCATTCAACTGTGAACATAGTTACGTCCAAATTGACTCCACTCATTGCTCAACGGATTATGTAATACACATATAATCGTATTCTCATCGGCCATTTCTAGAATTCTGGCGATCTGGAGAGCGCCAAATTTAGATATCATCAAATGAGGACATTGGGCGGAAAGCGGCGGGCCGGCCGGCCGCCTCGGCCGCCGAGGTGTGGGAGGGCGGGGCGGCGGTAAGGGGACCGCCGGGAATGCGAGGGGGTGACGCTATGGGGAGACCCCTGGGGTGTTCAGGATGGGGTGGCAGTGAGGGGAGACTGGGAGGGGGGGGGCGGAAGTGAGCCCTGAGACGCTAGCGTCAGTTTCCACCCGTGTGTTGGACTGCGAGCTGAGTGTTTGCGACCTTGATGATAAGATACGCTTTTAGATACGTTTTATTTTACGCGGGAGTGTGGTCGATCTCTCCCGTCTGTACCTTATGTGAGTTGTGACGGGCCGTCCGCGCCGCCGCGCGCCGGCGTCTCGCCCGTACTGGACCGCCCGGATTTCCTCACCGGGATGAACCCGGACGCGCCAGAAATGCAGGTTAGTGGGGACCGAGAGGGAGTGGAATTTGTAAATATAAGTACGTCAAACTCTTCCTTCGAAAAAATAAACACCGGCCGACGGCTGGAAAATTCCACCGGCCGGCCCGGCGGCAGTGTGTCGGGCGGCGGGGCGGGGTTTCCCCGTCCAGCGGCCGGCAGCGCTGAGCCGAGTCGTTCCCACGGTCTGGCGGCCAGCTGGGTGGGGGCGGGGTGGGGAGTGGGGCGGCCGATTGCCAGCCGCTTCTCCACGGGCAGGTGCTGCCACCTGCGCAGTAGTTCCACTGGCGGCCGCCAGGCCCGTGCGCGGTAGTTCCGCCAGCGGCCGCCGGATATCGCCACGCGCGTCGCGTCTAACCTGACGAAGCTACAAAAAGTTAGATAACTTTAATAAGAGGGACGGTAAACCCACAATTCCAACGCTGAATGCTGGGGGAAAGCAAAGGAGACCAACACAGTCATCTGTGTTCACCTTTTGGTAAGGATTAAGCCCCCTACGATCAATACCGTTGCGAAACTCGCAAGCAAATCACATTACAGAATTCGCATAAAGCACCCGTTAGCGTTACATTTACTAGCATTAAACGTTGCGTCCAATAGGCGTTAGAATAGGCAGGCAGGCATTACACATTAGAATAGCTATGTACACTCACTATCATACCATTAGGCACTTGAATTTCGGAATTTAAAATAATAATTAATGTAATGAAAGCTCAAATTGCTGATAGGTCCACGGGAGGGGCCGTTTCACCCTCCCCCCCCCCACGGGGCGTTAACGGTTCACGCCAACGGAAACAGCTCTGGGTGCTCCCCAGATAGCGTGATAAGCCGGCGCGTTGTTATGAAAGTGACCTGTGACCAGTTCCATTAGTATTGTGTGGCCTTTAAAAAGGCCTGTTACAGGGTTCGAGTCGACTGAGCCAGATGCAGGCTTACTTCTTCTCGGTCTTCTTGGGCAGGAGCACCGCCTGGATGTTTGGCAGCACACCGCCCTGGGCGATGGTGACGCCCGACAGGAGCTTGTTCAGCTCCTCGTCGTTGCGGATGGCCAGCTGCAGGTGGCGAGGGATGATCCTGGTCTTCTTGTTGTCGCGCGCAGCGTTGCCGGCCAGCTCGAGCACCTCAGCGGCCAGGTACTCCATGACGGCAGCCAGGTACACGGGGGCACCGGCACCGACGCGCTCGGCATAGTTTCCCTTACGCAAGAGACGATGGATACGACCGACAGGGAACTGAAGTCCGGCCCGGGAGGACCGGGACTTGGCCTTTCCCTTCACCTTGCCGCCCTTGCCGCGTCCAGACATGGCTGTATGTGAACAAGATGTAGCAACAAACGTGCAATCCCGTATTTGCGTTCACACCTGGATTTAAAAAGGGACGTAGCGGTGCCGGACACCGGTGCTCACCCACTCTCACCCACCGCCATTACGCTTTATCAACCGAATTCAAATACCAGCACCATACCATACCCGTTTCGTGTTAACAGTGTATTGCACTCGAAGCGCCGCCATGCCACCGAAGACTAGCGGAAAGGCCGCAAAGAAGGCCGGCAAGGCCCAGAAGAATATCTCCAAGGGAGATAAGAAGCGTAAGCGCAAGAGGAAGGAATCGTACGGCATCTACATCTACAAGGTGCTGAAGCAGGTCCACCCCGACACCGGTATCTCGTCGAAGGCCATGAGCATCATGAACTCCTTTGTCAACGACATCTTCGAGCGTATTGCTGCCGAGGCCTCGCGTCTGGCGCACTACAACAAGCGCTCGACAATCACCTCTAGGGAGATTCAGACTGCTGTCCGCCTGCTCCTGCCCGGTGAGCTTGCCAAGCATGCCGTGTCGGAGGGGACCAAGGCCGTCACCAAGTACACGAGCAGCAAGTAAGCTGGCTGGCCTGGCAGCCGGTGCCGGTCGACGCTCGCTTCATCTCATCACTGATCATCGCTCATCGCCTCCCATGCCGGCCGGTGCCGCTCCTAGCAGCACAAATAGGTCTTTTTCAAGACCAATAAATCAAATAGTGGACTTCCAGCACAGATGTTTACATCCAGGTCAATGTTGCATCGGGTCGTCGGCTTGAAGCAGACGCTGATCTGCACTTACCATGGTCGCTATCGAAATCGCAACAGTACCGCATGATAAGGGACGTAGCGGTGGCAGCTACTAGCGGCGTTTGAAATCTTAAGTTTTTTAGGCGAACATGACGTCACTAAAACGTCATTTTCTAAAACATTTTTCCGACGGATTTCGCTCAAATTTTCAGGGAACGTGTAAAATTGATGTGTAAGAAGGTGCTGAAAGTTTGACGTCGCTGGCGTAACGCGTTAAAAAGTTATTGGCGAAAATCGGGAGGAGGGGGGGGGGGGCAGTTTCTGCCCTCCCCAAGCGGGGCGCGGGTTAAGGAACAGTTTTGAATCGCTTCGATTCCTTTTTTTTTTGCTCGGCCAGCCTAGCGCCAGTCTCGAGCGGTGGGACAGTTAAACCGGCAATTTTGGCCGGGATGCAAAACTTAGCTAACGGCAAAGCTAACGGAGTAGTACCTACTTGTTGCCGAAGTGCCGAAAGAAGGTGCTGGAACCGAAAACACAACATCACATTTATTGCTGTTCTAAAGAACAATCCGAACGGCAAGGATGAGTCGCCACCGCTCAGTAGGGAACACTCTAAACAGCTACGAGTGGAGACTGCATTGTAACACAAGAAGGCAGCACGAGAACGCAGCGCAGACTGAGGCAGTAGCACCTCGGTAACCGCATTCGCGAATAGGCCGCTAACACCGCGGTAACTTAGATTTGTTACCATTCACACTACATAGATACAGTTACACGATACATACACTCTAGAATAACACGATACACCCTAGCACCGATCTACGCCGCGCACGAGGTACGGTGCCAGGTCTGGATCATCCAGAGGGTCGCGGCTCCGCGGAAGGTCTTGTGCAGCAAAATACGCCCTCATTTCCTCGTATATTTGTCTGTATCTCGCCAGGCGAGCTGAGATGGGGCTGTTGGCGGACTTTGGAGGCGACGGACACGGGTCTCCGGCAGTCTCCGCCTTCTCTCGCTGCACAAACACAACATTGGTTCATGTATTTATTAACATTCATACACACAGTCATACTTGTGCAAGGTGTCAGTGTTCGGTTGTGGGGTGTAATAGCCAGGGAAAAAGTTCTATGAACTGAAAAACCCGGCGCCTATTGCAAAGGGAAAAACCCCGCGCTGAAGCCAAAATAGCGCGGGGAAAAAACCTGTATCGTTTAAGCTAATGTAGCTTCAGCCTCCAGTCGGTGTTGGCGCTGCGACGGTTAGTGTTTGCACGGGGCCTTTACCGGAGCGCGTAATATGGAGACCGTCTATGCAAGGAGGGATAAGAAGAGGGACAGGGAGGTGACTCCGCGCGAGAAGGGCGCCCGGAGGCCAAGCAGGAAAAGCTAAGCCCCCAGTCGGTGTTGACGCTCAACGATCTCGGCCCAATCGACGTGATCGGAGCGCGCAATGTGGAGTCACCTAAGTGTTCGCGGTGCCGCGCCTCCGCCGCCGTTAGCGCGCGTGTAAATCACAGGTGATTAGGCGAGATGGACGATTCAACGGAGCAATTAGTGCGAATGAGAAGCGGTGGGGGAACAACATCGAACGATAATCACAAAAATCACAAGAACAACATCAACAGCAAGAATGGAAGATCAATCATTAGCACGTACAATCAACGGCGCGGCGGAGAGAAAATGGCGTAGAAGAATGTAGGAGAGGAGGAAGTTTCTGGCACTAGGCCAGGCCGGGGGTTGAAGTTCGTGGAGAAGTTGCGCGTCCTTGAGAAATACCTGATACCTGATACCTGATAAGATAGGATTAGGAAGGCTCTGTGGCCTGGTCGATCCTCTCTTGACGAGCTCCCAGCTTTTTGAATTGGATGACCTTTTTGATCACTGGCTGGCTTGCATCAATCTGGAGCCTCGTATGCCAGGTTAATCCAGTGCTTGTCCAATCTGTGCTTGAAGGCATTCACAGATGGGGCGCACACCACGTCCTCTGGCAACGAGTTCCAATCATTGACGACTCGTGTGGTAAAGTGGTTGATGCGTGTCCTTGTTGAAGCCTGAAGTTTTGCCACCTTCAATGGATGCCCCCTCGTCTGTGCGGCTCGAGGCTTGCTGAAGAAGTTCTCCTTGTCCAGTCCAATCCTCCTGTGCATCATGTTGAACATGGAGATCATGTCACCTCTTCTGCGGCGGTACTGCAGCGATGGCAGACCCAGCACTTGTAGCCTTTCTTGGTATGGTCGGTGTTGAAGATCTGGGATGAGTTTGGTTGCCCTACGCTGCACGCGTTCTAGGAGCTTCTTGTCTGCCATGTTAAAAGGACCCCAGGTCTGGTTGCCATATTCGAGGATGGGTCTTACGATGGCCTTGTACAAAAGTGGTAGTGTGCTGCAGTTTAACTGACAGAAAGCATGCTTGATAAGCCCGAGTACACGGTTGGCCCTCGATGCAGCAGCTGCAGCCTGTTCTCGGAACTTGAGCTGCTCGTCCACGAGAACTCCCAGGTCGCGCTCGACGCTCGTCTGTTGCAGCGGAATCCCCTGGATGGCGTATGTACTCCTCGGGTTGGTTGGTCCCAGGTGCAGCGTGCTACACTTCGCCACATTGAACGGCAACAGCCACTTGAACGGCAACAGCCAGAAATGCGAAGAGTTTTTCGAGGAGAAGTGGATGGTCGTCTCCCAGGAGAGTGGGGAGATCCAGATGTCATCTGTGCTTAAAAAGACAAAGACGAGACGATTAGATGGCTCTGATAAGAGCCATTGACATGTGCCAGCGGAATGGTCAGGCACATCGTTCACTTCTTAGCCGGGGCCTTTTTGGCGGCAGGCTTTTTGGCAGCCGTCTTTTTGGGCTTCGGTGCCTTGGGCTTCTTCGCCGGCGACTTGGCCTTCTTTGCTTTGGTTGGCTTGGCCTTGGGCTTCTGGGCCTTGGCGGGAGACTTGGCGGTCTTCTTTTTGTCCGCCGACTTTTTGGCAGCAGTCTTCTTTGGTGTCTTTTTCGCGGCCACCGGCTTCTTAGGCGACTTTGCGGCGGGCTTGGCCGGCTTGGCAGCAGCGGAAGACAGCTTGAACGATCCGCTGGCACCCTTGCCTTTAGTCTGCACCAGGGCGCCGCTGGTGACGCCAGTCTTGAGAGCCTTTTTGATGAACGGCGCCAGCTTTTCAACGTCGACCTTGTAGTTCGCTGCAATGTACTTCTTGATGGCGATCAGCGACGAGCCTCCTCGCTCCTTCAGACCTTTGATGGCTCCCTGGACCATCTCGTTGGTGGGCGGGTGCGTCGGCTTGGTGCGAGGCACCTTTGCCTTGGCCGCCTTGGCGGCGCCAGCAGCAGGGGCGGTGGCAGCGGTAGACTCGGTCATCTTTTTCTGGCGTCAGGTATCGTCATTTTCGCTTACTGGAAAGCCAGAGAGCTGCCATAGACGATTCAGTCCGGACAAACACGACTGACGCAACAGTTTACTGATAACCGGCAGCCTGATCTCGACAATGGTGACATTTGTTTGCGCCCTAATGCTTCCAGGGACTCGTTGCGGTGAGCAGTCACGCACGCTGTGGTGGCGCCAACACTTTTCTTCCCTTTGGCAGCCGTCGATTTGGAGTAGACCACTACGTCGAGCGCAGTCAGGTTGTTTTTCAAGTTACTGTTGGCGAGCTGCTGCAGTGATCCGGCGACGTGGCATCATTTCATCGGCACAAATATACAAGCAGCGATGACCGGCTGACGAACGGAGCCAACGGGATCTACAACGCATCGATTGCGCTCCTTTCAAGCTACAAATGTCTGCAAACGGACGACAAACCTGGCTCGCAGCTGTCGTTTTCAAGGATGACTTTTGAAAAAGAAGCGTGCTGTGCAGTTTTCAGACAGACAGAGACAGACAGATACGCCAATGGCGCTGCCAGGCGCCGTGTGAAGCCAGAAGCGCGCTCAAAGATGACAGAAGAGAACCGCCAACCGTCGCAGGAACCCGCATGTAACAGTCATCGGTTAGAAAGAGAGCTACCTAAAATATTCCAGCGTCACCGTCACAGTCAATATTCGGGGAAAACTGCAATTCCAAGATATATGCACAGCTCTTCACCTTTTTGAGTCAGCTACACTTCACACATCACGTCACACGTCGTCGGCCGCCGCTCAGTCTCCGCCATCTTGCGGTTGAGTCGCTCGTCGAGCCTCGCACTCCTGTAACAAAGCGGAGGTTCCTATGTAACAGCGGTAATAAATTGGGCCTTCAAGTACATTCAGTTCAATTTTTTTTTTTGTCCTCCCGGCAAGCCATGAGGCTATAGCCGGGGGAGGGGGAAAGTTAATAGCTG